CTTCTTTTTCAGCGCCGCTATTACTGATATCACGACGCTGTAACAGTTCTTTAATCGACAAATACGCCCATAGATGCTTAGCAAAATCATCAATTGCATGTTTATTAAGGAGTGCTTCGGGTGGTTTCTAAAATAACAACAAAAAACATAAATTAACATACAGATTGCCTATTGTTCATTGATTCACTGTATATTAAATTTGATTTTAGCATTATTTGCTCTCAAAGAGTGTTTCCATCACACGCACGCCTTATTATAAAGTTATATTTGTATGTAGACCTATTTGATAATTTGGTATGATAAAATATTTTCTAACCTCTGTATCGACTGTAAGTGGAAATTCTATAGCAACATCGACGGAATTTGCAGCAATTGTCATTTCAAGAATGTCGTTGGTAATGTTAGTCGCCTTTAGTTTACCGGTTACCACAAGCTCAGTCCCTTGGAAATAATTTGGAAAAACAGTCTGCGTTAAGCTGTTCGTCTCTACTATTTCTTCAGGGTAGTCGAAAACGACATTATAAAGAAGCGGGGTTGCAACTTCTTCAAAGAATCCCTCTAACTGCAAGCTTGCCTTTGAATCGTCGTAAATCTTCCGAGCCAGGCCACGATTTCTCAAAGCCAGCTTCTCAAGAAATTTGTAGTCGACATTCTCACCAAAGCCAAGGTTGAAAAGCGAATATTTATTATTTATTTCTCGTTCTACGTCTCTTTCAATTGCATTCAGGTCTGTTACTCCAGATGTCGGTTCTCCATCAGTCAGCATTATCAACATTGAAACACCATGTATACTGTCATTTGCATTTTCCGTAAGTTTCTTTAAGAGCCTGACACCATCTATTAGACCTTCATGCAAATTTGTCCCTAAAAAATGAAATCAATCCATGTCAGCATTATTAGTGAGAAGGGAACAGTATTAGTATGTACTTAAGTCTGATAATCAACTTTAATTGTTTGATATTATATAATAAATGCAAATTATGACCATGGAGAAGCTCTCAATCATTACCGGCGAGGGCTCTTAGAGATGAAACAAAGTTCTTAGCACGTCTGATGTTTTCAGGAGTTGCTTGCTGAAGTGTATTTTTCCACTGCCGTGTGTAATCAGTGAATGTGACAATATTAAAATAATCTATGTCTCGCAAGTCATCCAGAATAGTGTTCATTGCATCTTTGGTTTGCTGTATTTTGCGTCCTGACATTGACCCACTAACATCAATGACAAAAACGACATTCTTCCGAACTACTGGTAGGCCTTCAGGAGAGAAGTAATGCACGAAGTATCCATTCACAATCTGTAACAAAACACACGCCACTATTATATCTGGTGAAACACTTATAAGATAAATTTGTATCTAAGCTATTTATTACAATTTTCAAGAGAAAAAAAAATAGAACTAACTTGAAGTTCACCTCCGCTCTTTGGGTGGTTAACGTCATAACGAATGACGAAATCTCCTTGAATGCCATCCTCCGATTCCTGACGCTGTTCCTCAACTGTTGGCGCATATTCGATAAATGCTTTGATGTCTCCTCCTTTGAGTCTTAACTCACCAACACCGTGTTTTGTGACCTCCTTTCCATTAGCTTGCTCCTTCACCCAGCTTGTGTTCACTTCGCTCAGACCTTGAGTTTCAATAATTGCCACTTTTACATTCATAGTCTTGACAATCTGTAAACATTCAGACATGTACAAGTTTCAGTAGATCTAATAAAGTAAATCAACTGGTATTTCTAGATAATCAGTGTGAAGATTAATGTAAATAATATTTTTAAAATATATTGTTTATATGAAAATATTATTTACATTAGAGGTAATTGGCTAATATAAGAATACAAGAGCTATTATGTTAACAAAGATACAATATTAAGACGTACGGAAAAAAATTACGCAACACTTAATCAATCAATGGATTTACAAGGCGCATAATACAGTAGCCACTATGAATTTCCACCTAACTTAACAAAGTGCATATACCCACTTCATCTATTAACTTTTTTTTTCTTGTAATATTTCCATTTTAATAACCAAATGCCTATAATGTAAAAATCTTCAAATAATTTGCTGCATAAAAAAATTACAGACGGCTGAAATACGAAACACATTAAGACGTCACACTCTGTGACAAAAATCCCATCCAATTGAACAAAATGCATACACCGACCTCACTCGCAACAAGATCTCGTAATCGCGAATGCTCCGATGAGGGCAGTATAATAGAGACATTAGACTATATTGGCCCTAGCGGCCGCCCATACAAAAAAGATTTATTAATCAATCGGCAAAGAGATCAATCAATCAGCCGCGTATTAGAGCTCCTCATTGAATCTAAAAAGATCTCCTAATTAGTCAGTCGACTTTTCTAGAGCTTCTCATTGGAGTTAATAATAATAAAGTAATTGGCCCTAACGGCCGCCTATACAAAAACGAGAATGAAAAGAAAGATCTATTAGTCAATCAGCCGGGTATTCTCAGTCAGTTGAGAGTTTCTAAAGCTTCTCATCGGAGCTAATGATCATAACGGCCGCCCATGCAAAAAAGATAATGATCAATCAGCCGACTGTTTTGTAGAGCTTCTCAGAGTTAATGGCCCTAACGGCCACCCATACAAAAAAGAGAATGAAAAAAGATCTATTAATCAATCAGATGGGTATTCCTAGAGCTCCTCATCGAAGCTAAAAACTAGTATATCTTAATTGTAGCACTTCCATTTATAACAACTAAATGCCTCTATCCTCCAAAGTCTGTCTCTGTATAAATTATCAAGATTTAGAATTGAAAAAAATCCAACATATTTTTGTTTTCCGCTGTCGTAATCACAGAGAAGACGAACTTATAAGTTTATGCGATAGTGTTGGTAGAATTGAATCGTATTGCCTAGCTAGGCTAATGCATTATTGAAAGAAAGGTAATAATGTTTCACCAACCTGACCAGGTCGAATACTGGTTCGATGCTCAAAATAACCGTCTTTACGTGTTAACATCTCTTGGTATATCAGTTCAAAAGTAACAAATGTTTTCTTGGCTACGCTAACAGACACCGAAAAACTATTCACCTTCTCCGACCAGCATTGAAAATAATATAATTATTTAAATTAATTGATGAAATTGACATTAAAAAAACAAAATCTGTTGTGTAATTTTATAACCCAGGGACATCGGACCAACCGTCGGGCCACCACTTAAAATGTGAGAGTTATATTATTATCATGTAATAAAATTATTGGAATTAGCCCGAGATATATTTTTTAAACATTGACCTCATTTTGGAATGATCATGTGCGGAATTTACGCTTTGTTTTGTTGATGGTGCATCCAGAAAAAAAATCAACAGTAAATTGAAAAAAAAAAAAAAGTAATACGATTAACATTGCAGAACTAAAAATTTGGTTAACCTGGTCAGGTTGGTTATAGTAATAATAATTGTCAATTTATAGAGCGCATAATGTAAAATACCTCTATGCGCTTTACGGCATTGTGTGGTAAAAATTATTAAAAATTTCATCTAGCAAAAATAATGAGTAACAATAATCAATAACAACAATAAAAAATAAATATATATAACGTTAATAAATAAATAATTTGAACATACAGAATTTTATTTACATTTTTTAAAAATGATTGTTAAATATTTATTTCCATAGTCGTATTTCCTTACTTACCTTTTACTCTCTTTTTTTCATTTCTTTTTTCCCTTTTTTTTTTTGGTTGTACAGTAAGCTACATGAATATTATTCCAACATAACATCGTTATCTATTTATTTATTATTATTTTGCCAATAATTTTAATTTACCTTAAGGTTCTGTAGAATATAATGTAGTATTCTAAATGATAAGTAAAATGAAAAATTAAAAAAAAATGATGAGTTGATTAATTGATAATGGAGAGTATTAAGCCGGGAACTCACTGCGCCGTGCAAAGGTCATATGACCGTCGCACGACGAACCCACTCCGCTTTTCGTGAGCGCTAGACGACGCCACACCGTCTCTTCATTGCCGGTGGCAGTCAGAACGGATAGTCATTTAAAACAATCCGCTCTGCGTGCGCGTCGACCATCTGGTACAGTGAGTACCCGGCTTTAAGTGAGTAAGACAAGGGCTTTACTGTTGTTTAACGTGTCCTGCACTCTGACCCCTGTCCCTAGCTTCATTGTAGATCTTCTGAGCTTTTTTCTTTTCTTTGATCTCGGCAGGATACACAACGCCATCAATTTCCCTACGTATGGGTTAAAGAAATTAAACATTTGTGAATTAAATTAAAATGGTATGCAGTAATTTATATCTTGTGTGTAGTCCTACATTGTTTACAATAGTTTATTGTCCTGTTGAATGCGAATTAGTTATAACCTATTATAGATAAAATATAGCACATTAGTATAAAGCAAGTTTTACCAAGGACTTTTAACTGTTACC